CAGGGTGTCCGCGGGTCCTTAAAAAGTCTTAAAATGTCTTAAATAACATTTTCCTAATATAAGGCCTTAAAAGTCTTAATGTCTTAAATTCGGATTTGTTGGGTCTTAATTATTTTTGGTCACATTACCGCTAAAATATCTTCAGTCTGACGGACCTAATGACTTTACAATCATTGGACAGACCGACGCGTGGTACGTTACTGCGTCATCAGAGAGAATTGCAGTAAGTTTGCAGAATACAGAACACAAGCTCGCACTGAGGCTCACTCTGTTTGTCTCAAGACTTCAGAACAAATGAGCGTGACAGCACACATAAACTCAGAAGAAACACACTGAGGTAAAAATTCTAAATGTTTAGTTTATTCATAACATGATATAGTTAAAGAACACCATGACAAGCGAGCTATTTTGCTCAATATTCTCACGATGCAATAAAAAGAATCATTCAAAACACCTACAGAGTGCACGCATTACGTGAAGTCTAGTGCGCGTGCGCATTTGCAGTGCGCTCTGCCTGATCATTGCGTGATTCAGTCTATTTAAAATACATTCGGAATGATCACAAATTCAAGACATGGGGGCAGAAAATGTGTATATTAATACCACTTCTTCTAGTTAATCAAGTTCACACGGAAGAGTGCCTTTTTTTCTCCAAAAATTACCATATACAAATGTGATATTGATTTTTTCAACAGTTCAATAAACTAGAAGTTGTATTAAGAGACTTACGTTTTAGACACCATATTGCCTGTTTTTGCACTATTTCGCCAACGCGTGCGCATTTGCAGTGCGCTCTGCCTGATCATTGCGTGATTCAGTCTATTTAAAATACATTCGGAATGATCACAAATTCAAGACATGGGGGCAGAAAATGTGTATATTAATACCACTTCTTCTAGTTAATCAAGTTCACACGGAAGAGTGCCTTTTTTTCTCCAAAAATTACCATATACAAATGTGATATTGATTTTTTCAACAGTTCAATAAACTAGAAGTTGTATTAAGAGACTTACGTTTTAGACACCATATTGCCTGTTTTTGCACTATTTCGCCAACAAAAATAATTCCAAACAAAGCCACAGCGCTGTTTTTCGTCTCCGAGCAACATGACGGTGTTTCGTTCCTGAATGAACCAACATTTAAATGATTCGATTCATTCTCAATGACTCGCTTAACAGTGACTTACTGCCACGTACTGGCGGTTTTAATTTAACATTTAAAGTATCTTTTAATTTTTTTAATTATTTCAAATATCAGTATTCAATGTTTTATGTTTAATATATCCAAATATTATTTATGCATTTGTAACGGCAGGTTAAATGCATTCATGTTCTGCATTAAACAGTGTGTAAACACATCTAAATGCCACTTCAGGTGCAGCTTATGTCTGGATTGCAAAGATGAATTTGGTTGATACTGATTTCATTTGCTTGGTAACAGCCCAAATGTCTTATTATTCTAATGCACTGATTAAATGTAAGAATTTGACTCAAAAGATAATGCACACTTATAGAAAAATGGGTTTATAAAGGTAAAATGCCCATAAAAGGTAAAAATCTATTGAAACTTATTGGGAAAGTTACATTTCTATCTGACCACCACACAGAATATGAAGAATATCAAAAACTTTAGGAGTCAGCTGTCCACGAACGTCTTTAAGATGCCAGCATGATAAAACACTCAGTCAGTTGAAGGAATGACTCAATACTCACTCATTAAGTGACTTACCGTCACTTACTGGTAGTTTAGTTGAGAAGTATGTTGAAAAGTATGCATTTTTCCCCTCAACATTTCTTATTTGTATACTCATAAATGCATTTAAAACATTAATCTCATAACATTATTTATTGCAGTTGTAATTATTGTTATTTGCAGTGTAAATTATTTAATCTGACTGGTAGCAGCCCTATAGTGTATATTGAATTTATTGATAAATTGTAATAATTTGACATGTAAGATGATGCATACATCTAAAAAGGTTAAAAATAGGCCTTTGTAAAGGTAAATATGCAGATTTAAGTATGTAAAAGCTGATAGAACACTGATGAAAATATTACTTCAGAATAAATTGTTTACTCCACCAAAAATCTCAGTGATGCAGTTATTTTGTGGGGATATTTTGTATGGAATATTGTCT